CGTGAACTATTGTGTCACACGTGTTAACGTAAGTAAATCTCATGGACCGAATTTCCATCCGAAAATCGATTTTGAATCGCATTAAAAACGATTAATTTCTAAAGCGGATGATTACTGGTGATGAAAAGTGGGTCAATTACGACAGCGTCAAGCGAAAATTGTCGTGCTCGAATCGCGCTGGGACGGCGCAAACGTTGATGAAGCCAGTATTGACGGTCGAGAAGACTTTGCGGTGTGTTTGCCATTGACAGGATATCATCTACTATTAGATTCTCCCCGACGGCCAAACTCTTGATTCGCACCTTTACTACGAACAATATAAGCATCTGAAGGCACAAAGAGCCAGCTTTGAATAAAGATAATAGGAGAGAAATTGTGTTCCACCAGAACAGCGCAAGACCATCGATATTGTCTTGGCAAACTTGGTTGGAAAATTCTTATTCATCCATCTTATTCATTCGGAGCTGGCACCAAGTGATTACTAGCTTTACCTGTCTAAGGCGCATGATTTTTCTGATGAATACCTCGCCTCAAGAGAATTTTATGAATATTGACTCTCCCAGGTTTTTGACAATCGAGACGAGCGTTTCTACTAGAGTGGAATTATGAAATTATATTTATGCCTGTTTGACTTAAATCAGATAATTTTAAATATGCTAAATAAAAGCCTTAATTTGATGCAAAAAATTGATTTCTTATTAATAGATCTATTATTTTCTATTAATTTAAGCTTAGAAGACCAATTGTATGCTGCTTATTACTGGATGCCATAAGTTAAGGTTCATCATCAAATAAACTTAGAGTTGTCTTAGACTTTCTCCTTTTTATGAACACCTCTCAAAATACGAAAAGTAGATACGGGTGTGTGACTACGCTAAAGTGTTATACTTAGTAGAAGACTTGGGTTAAGCAATGCGAGATTTCAGTTGGCTTGTTTGAGTTATAAGCAATCTTTAAAGGTATCTCTAGCGAGTATTGATTTCATTTAACATTCTAAGTGATCATCACCAAAAATAACAAAAGTTTTTAGTTTTTAATTCGCTTACACCTAACTCATAACCTATTTTTAGGCGCGTACACATGTTACGCGGCACTCCAACGAAGAATGACGCCTGTGTGCATTTATAGCTGACACGTACAAGCACAAACGCATATATCTTTCTGTGAACGAGAGTATTTCAGCGCATTGAAATGTGGCGTGTTAATGCGGTTGTGTCGAACATACTCGTACACAACCATATATAACACATACATATGTATATATATGAATATACGTGGTAGATATAGAGCGTGTGAATGTGCAAGTATTTGCAACACTAAATTTAGCAAGTGTTTGGCATCACATCACGTGCACACACACGACTGCATGCAGCGGCAACGTAAAAATGCATGGTACGTAGCACCGGAAAAATGTGGCAACGAACAATTCCATTTTTTCTTTGTTTTTGTTATTGTGCAAAAATTGCTTTTCACTTGCAGCAGGTGCGGCTAGCTTTGACTCGCCTCAACTCGACTTAATGCAGCTAAACTTAGTTTGGCGCCAAAAGTGTGCAGAGTTATACGCGCGCACACATAGAAGTGTGTATGCGTGTGTGTAAAACTATGTTTGTATATGTGTATGTGTGTGCCTATATGTTCATGTGTGCGCTTGCATCGAAAGCTGGCAATAAAAATGTGCGCAATGCCACTTTTAATTTGAAAATTTTAACGACCATAAAAGCTATGCGCTTTTGTGGTGGTGCTGGTGATGGCAAAAGGCAAACAAACGGTAAATGTGACAAAAGTGATGTAGAGACTTGCAGCAGCGTAATTGCTATGCAGTTTGAAAGCGTTTAGCTCACATTGTTTCTATTTTTATGACTATTAGTGCGCTTTTTTATTGTTTTTGTGCTAAAATTATCAGCAATTTTTATTTCAACTTTGCCAATTTCGACGAAGCACTACGCTGATTATTTCACTGTACCATATATATGTATGTGTGTGTGCTGTATTTGGCTGCCACGCAGTCGCCAGTGTCAGTTGACGCAGCAATTGAAAGCAAGAGAAAAAATTCGCCACTCAAAGCGAATGGAAAGCTTACGAAAAAGAAACAGCAAAGGATAAAAAACTTAAAAAGGAAATGAAAATGAAGCAAATGAAAAAAAATTCGTAAACTTTTGTGCCAACTTTTGACCGCATTTTGACGCGTTTCCCTCATTGCTGCTGTTGCATGAAAAATTTATCACACGTTAATTACTTTTAATTTTCGGCTTTTGGCACACACATACACATATGCACATTTTCGCTAAATAACCGTTGTAAATACATTGGTGATCCTGGTGTTGGTGGTGAAACGTGCGACAAAGTGCAAAGTCGGTGGCGTACTCACTAGCGCTCTGGCTTAAGTTGTAAGCGTAGCGCCATTACTCACACATAAATACATATGCATACATGCACACACACATATACAAGTACATGCGCAGTCACATTTTGCGCATTTTTTGTACATTTTCCATTAACCCACCGGTCATGCCAAGGGGCCTCTGCTTTGCTTAATCTTTGTTGCTGCTTTTCTCAGTGCTTTTGTTGAGCAAGGAGGTTTTTAATGTAACGTATGTTAACTTATAAAGTGTCGCAAGTCAAAACACTTTTTTGAGGCCGGTCACACAACAAACAAGAAAAAACGTAAACTTCGGTTACACCGATAATACCCTACACAAATATAACATAGTCCTTATCTGTTATTTTGCCAAATAATCTATGCAAAATTTCGTGAAAATATCTCCTCAAATGAAAAAGTTTTTTATACAAGCTCTTGATTCCGATAATACAGTTTGTTGGGCAGCTATATGCTTAGTAAAACGATCTGATACAGTTTTTTGAAGCTTGTATCATTGCCTTCGGTAATAATCCAAGCAAAACTTCTTGAAGATATCGCGTCAAATGAAAAAGTTTTCCAGACAAGCACTTTATTTCAATCGTTCAGCTTATATGGCGGCTATATGCTATAGTGGTCCGATATCGGTGGCGGAGGAGAAAAGGATGTGTGAAATATTTCATACCGATATCTCAAAAACTGAGAACTAGTTCGTATAGTTACAGACGTACGGATAGACTGAGAGACTGATGGGCATGACTTTTAATTTGGTCACGAAGTTTGATACTTCCAGAAGGAAACGTTGGAAACCCTCTAAAGTATGGTACATATATATAAAAGATCAGTGTGACGAACTGAGTCGATTTGACCATGTTTGGCCGCAATCTCGAACTAGTGATCACCGTAATCCTGTTGGGAAAAATGTAGAATGCCAAAGCAGAGTGCAATAACTACCAATCGGTAGAAAGAGGTTATAAATACTGGTACAAAATACTTAAAATTACGGAAAACTTTCTTTCAATAGCCAATATTAATACTTCTATCTGATTTTCAGGCGTTCAAAAAATGTATTGCAAAATGCAATAACTATTTAAAATTACTGGGTAACACTAGATGTTAGATTAAGGCTCATGCGTATGGTATATTATGTAGTCTCTCTAATTCTGCCACACAGCGATAAAAGCTTTTCTCTTTTCGACAAAGTACCAGCTCTAAGCCCTGGCTGCCGAAACTGCAGACGCAAAAGCATGAAGCATATAAAAAATCTGCAACCCCGGATTATGAGCTCTGAGAAATATTCCGCTTTAGATCATCTGGGCTTCTTAAGTTTAACAACACTATTTTTTTTTGTTTTGTATTTGATGTGAGTTGTGCCATTTTCAAAGTTAACGAACGATGAACATGTACTTACACATGTGCACTCGTGAATTATGCCAACACAAGCCGGATACGTAATTTCTTGTGGGAATTAGCTTTTGGTTTGACTAGTGGAATGTCGCGAAATTTAATTTTTTTTTTGACCGAAAAGGTAATTTGCTTTTGCCGAGTAAACATAAGAGGGAAAATTACAAACAAACATTTTGCCACCATAAAAAATGAGTAAATAAAAGTGTTGCTTTTGAGATTGGGTCGCGACATTAATTAACCCAGTCAACGGGTAAATGTGTCGAGGTGAAGATAAGCCCAAATGTACATAGGTATGATATTATGTAATATTAGGTAATATAACATATATTTAATATTGTTAATCTAAATACACGGTTCACCAAATATCTCCCCGTCAGAATTACCAGTCTGTGTTTTGAATTCCAAATTTTTCAACTGACAAAACTGCCGCATTTGGAGTGAAGCTAATCCTCAAGTGTATGTCGAAACACCGTTACATTCAGAAAAACTGACTGTTTGGTGCGCTTTATGGGCTGGGGTGGAACGTTACAGTCAATAGGGATCGGTACAGATCCATGATTACTAACTATTTCATTCCTGCCTTGAACAACCATCATGTCCAGGAGCTGTGGTTCCAACAAGACGGCGCAAGATATCACACAGCTCGTGCCACAATCGATTTATTGAAAGACACGTTTCGTGACCGCCTAATTTCACGTTTTGGACTTGTGAATTGGCCTCCATTATCTTGTGATTTAACACCGCTAGACTACTTTCTGTGGGGTTATGTAAAGGTTTGGTCTATGCGCATAAGCCACAAACGCTTAACCATTTGGAAAACAACATTCGCCGGTGTTATTGCCGATATACGGCCACAAATGTTGGAAAAGTCATCGATAATTGGACGTCCAGATTGGACTACATCCGAGCTAGCCGTGGCGGTCTTATTCCAGAAATCTTATATAAAAGGTAATTTCACAAGATTATCTTTCGGATAAATAAAATTCATGTCAATTGAATAATCTATCGTTGTTTTATTGCAATTTAAAAGTTCTATACCTCTGAACCTTTACAATCGATCAGTCTCATAAAGCCTTCGAACGGGGAACTTATAAGTGCGGAGTATACGTTTAATTAGATTACATTGCAGTAAGCTCAGTTAAGTTTCAGAGTAAGCTTAGGCTAAGTAGAAAAAAATTGGCTCAAGGCAAGGATAATAAGAGATATGATAAAACGGCCTTCAGTGAAAGACATAAGCTTACTTTACTTTAGAAATTCTGTTTTATATTTGCTGTTTGTTAATATATTAAGGAATAAAAAGTCAATGCTGCACCAGACCAGTAACTACTGCATCTATCCAACCCTTATAGTAAGCCAGCTTAGTAAAGCCTCCTTTTGCCATAGAGCCGCAGCCATTTGTAATAGAACTGGCAATACCAATTAGAATGTTTCTATAAACGGCAGGTCCACCATCGTCGCCATCACAAAAACCTGCTGCTTGTGGACTGAGGAGGCACAGTATGCCAGGGTCCACTGTACCGTTAGCTTTAGCGCATTCTTCATTCTTCAGAGTTTTCAGTGTTTTAGTGTACCTTAATATATCAGAGAGTGGGCCACCTTCGTATACACGACCCCAACCGGAAACAGCAACCAGCTCACCTGCTGGTACATCCCAAGTAGTAATCGCTACAGGTTTTATGACATCGGAGTAGTTGAATGGTGCTTCTATCTGTATCAAAGCAATATCATTACTGAAACCATACAGCGGGTGTGTGATAACAGTAGAAACTGCTCGGATTTCGCCGCCATTGGTGCGGCTCACAGTGCCCGCTTGTACACTTAGGGTGTTGTAATCAATGCTGCAAAAAATATGTAATCTTAATTATGCTTCTTCTTAAGTTTAAGTATTATCAAATCATACTAGTAGACACAATGTGCTGCGGTAACAACAAATCTTTTTGATATCAACGCGCCACCACAAATATGTTGATTATTGAGACGCACGGATACTTGATATGGGAATTGTCCTAAAGCAGCAAATCCCCCGCTGACTATTCGAGGACTCGGTATCAGTTCCGCGGAGCCGTCTTCGTTTTGCGTGGCATTAACAACCAGACAAAAAGCTATAAGGAGCTTTATAAAGAAGCTGCGATAATCCATATTAAGAAAAGTAAACTGAATTGCTTATTGCTTCAACACGATTTATATAGAACCAAGACTTGAAGACACGTCGGCAGTTCAATGAAACGCGACGAATTAGGGTCATTAAAAAGTGATTAGAATATTGTTGAATAAATCCAAATGTAATGTATTTGATACCCTCGCAACATGTTGGACAGAGTACAGTAGTTTTGTGGACTTAATGGTTCTTTGTAACACCTATATATACCAGGTGGTTTCCAAAGTCAACAGAACTTTAAAAAAAATACAGAAAAATACTTCTTTACTGTTTACTTTGGAACGCACCTTGTATATATGTTATTGTATGTATATGAAAACTGATTGGAATGCAGAAAGCGACGAGGTGAAAAACGTCATCTACTTTTACCTTACATTTCCGGTGATATTTCCAAGTGATTACGAAATCCGGGAGAGCCCCGTATTCAGCTGCACCCGAACTCAGATCTACCTTACTTCTTTATCTTTGAGACTATTGTGTTTTTGATTTGTGTTAAAGTTTTTTGTAATTGTTTAGTCTACTGTGATAAGAGATGTGAAGGGACAAAAAAGTTGTTAATTATAGTTTAGATTTCCTTCACAAGACAACTAATTTCTATCTCAGCTAATATTCAAATCAATTGCGCCTTTCTATCCTTCTATAAAGATCTCTTATTGAATTAAAAAATCCATGAATAGTGATAGTACTCATACTGCTACTGATAGTGACAAATTAAGATTATTAAGGTATTTGAAGTAAGTGCTGCAAAAAGTAGCGAAGTCCTTTTCCACTGTGTTCGTAGGGGTATTGATGTGTCGGGTAGGCACAGTTATAGACAAAAGATAAGAGCATGGAGAAATTAATTCCTGAAAGTAGCTTTAATGAGCTAACTTGAGTTCATTTGGCGATGTCGGTGCATTTAAATTAAACAATTTACCAAAGCTTAGTAGAGAATAGTTATTTATAGAAGGACCAGAGAGAAAGAAAGAAATAATTTTCTTAGAATTAACTTATAGTATTAAGTAAGACTGGCCCGTTGACGCTTCATATTAGGCTTTTAAAAATTTAATATAGCTTTGATAATTCATACTTAGGTAAGTAAATTGAATCGTTCAATGCTTCAACACGTAGAACCACGATTTCAAGTCACATTTCAAGAAACGTGCTGAAGAAAGGTCATTAAAAAGTGATTAGAGTATTGTTGAATATATTTAGCAATTAATGGTTTTGACACTCTCACACTCTGTTGCACAGAGTATAGTAGTTTGGCTCACTTAACTGCGACACGGCAAACTATTCACGCTCGATATGGTTTGAAATGGCAGGGTGAGGTGGACATAGTTAGCTTCTTTTACTTTACAATTGCCACATATTTACTATGCTTTTAATTATAACGAATTTCCATAGCATCCAGTATTGAGTTACACTCTACTTTACTGCTTTATCTTTCAGAATATTACATTTGTTTTAAATACATATGTGTTTAATAAGTTGTGTTTACTTAAATATTTTACGTACTGACTGAGATAAGAGCAGTCGTGTGACAAATTAATATTTAATTACTTATTGAACTTAGATTCAGAGCAATAAAATTCATGTGTAGCTGGCGGCAGCATACAGTCCGAATCACTGCGAATTTTGAAAAAACTTACATAATAATTTCTATTTAAGATATTTTATACATATTTCATATTTTTGGTATATTTATAAGCTATTTCCATGAGGAGATCCTAAGTATCTTAATACAAATTGTAAATTATCAAAATAATGCTCCGGAATTGTTCAGATTTCCATTTACGAGATATCCAATTTATTTATCTCAGCTTATCTTCAAATCAATTCTGCCTACCCGCCTTCTCTAAAGATCTTTTTTTTAACAGTAGGTGCCAAATAGACTCCTAACCACCAAGTTCATAAACCTTCTAGTGAATAGCAAAGTGGCAGTTAAGGCTCCTTTAAGTGTTTTTTGAAGCATTGGACCCTAGAAGAATACCTCCGTTTTAGGAACACTAGCAACACAGGGCATACTATAAAGTTACTTTGGTGTAGTGTTGATGTAAAGTTGAATTCGGCGGAATGCAGAGCATGCGCCGAGTATGATGAAATGCTGGAACATTATATTTGCAAATGGCCAGCATTCAGCTGCCTGAGACGGGTTATCTATCATGGCTCCCAATGTTCCAACTTAAGAGACATTGGGTACCTGGGGTGGAAAAAATGAAAATTTTTTACCAAATCCACTGAGTTGCTGGAAATGACTTAATTTGGTTACCACTCGGGAACATAATGAGCCTAATGATAGCCTAAGTACGTACAGCTATCTGCGGTCTGCCGCTTCTTTCTCGGTTATCTCTTCAACCAACCAACACTGATTGTGACAAAGCATGATCCTTTATGTGTTTGACGGGTCATATATTCAAGACCGAAATGGACAAGAAATGAAACTGTTTGTTTTGCTTCAACTTTGAATTCGGTAATCTAGACTTTGTGAAAGAATTTCGAGGCGGTATTCAATATAATCTAAAACAAGAGGAAGCTTATACTAGGAACAATACCTGAATCTACTTTCAAGATTACACCGAGTTCTACTAGATCAAGCTAAGTTAGCTACTAAATTATATCTAGGCTAGATTGAATAAACACTGCTTAATTAGAACAAAATAAGTTTTCTTTTGAAAATTTATTTTACATTTCCTGTTTGTAAATGATAAAATATTAATCATCATTATTATAGGCACGAATAATGTTTTGTATCCAAGTATAATATTTAGACACCTTAGTAAAGCCACCCTTTGTAGCAATGCCACAAGAATTTGCATTATAACTGGCAATACCAACTAGTATGTTTTTGAAAACGGCTGGTCCACCATCGTCGCCATCACAAAAACCTCTTCTCTGAGGACTAAGAAGGCATAGTGTGCCAGGATTAGTTATACCGTCAGAAGCCGCGCAGTCTTCATTCTTTAGAGTTGTCAGTGATCGGCTATACAATAACTGAGTAGAGAGCGGACCACCTTCGTATATGCGACCCCAACCGGAAATGGTAACGGATTCTCCTACCGGTACATCCCAAGCAGCAATTGCTATTCCTTTTACGACATCGGAGTAGTTGAATGGTGTTGCCAGCAATAGCAAAGCAATATCACTGTCGAAACCATACTGAGGGTGTATGATAACATTAGAAACTGCGCGGGATTCGCCGCCATCGGTGCGACTCACAGTACCGGCTTGTACACTTAAGATTTCGTCATCAATGCTGCAAAAAATATGCACTCTTAATTATGCGTCTTTTTTTGTTTACAGATTCCGAAGTCATACTTGTAGACACAATGTGCTGCAGTAAGCACAAATTTTCGAGACACCAGCGCACCACCACAAATATGCTGCATATTTACCCGCACGGATACCTGATATGGGAATTGTCCTTTTGCAGCTGTTTGACCGGTTAATATGCGAGGACTCGGTCTGAGTTCCGCGGAGACATCTTCGTTTTGCGTGGCCTCTGCTACCAAACAAACGGCTATGAAGAGCTTTATACAGAAGTTCCGATAATACATACTGAGCAAATCAAATTGAATTCCTCATTCATTAAGCACCGCTTATATGGAAACAAAATTTAGTGACACGTCGCGTGTTTAGTGAAATATGCAGAGAAAGAGTCATTAAAAAGTGATTAGAATATTGTTAAACTAATTCTAGAAATTATTTTTTTGGTCGCGCAACATAGTGAAAATATTATGGCAGTTTTGTTCACTTAACAATTGTTTGTAGCACCTCAAACTAATCGCTTTAGACATGAATTTATCTATATCAAACTGACTGGAAAGACGAGACGTTGTGAATGCGGTTCGCATCTTTTATGTTGCAATAAATAATATAATTCTTGATCCAGCTAACAAGTGTCATCACATTTTCAAGAAATAACCAATTCCTATTCCAGTGCCATCTTGCTCTGAATGCTATTGAAAGGATTCCACAAGCAAGAATGTAGTGGAGTGAAAATTCCAAAATATAGGTTATGAGACAATGCAAGGGTACATAATGGCTAACCAAGTGGAAAGTTAACATATAAATAAAACAGAACTAGTTTTGTTAATTAGGAAGTATAAAATCACAGATATTTTCTTCATTGAGGACTGTGAACAGGGTTATGCATTTTTTCGACGTTTTATGAGGATCTTTTTGTCTAAATCTAGCAGTTTTTGATATTAAAAAAGACTAGCGTTCACAGCTATTCAAGTGGGATCCCTAGTTTTCTTTGGAGCCAGGTTCAGCTGTATTACTTGAAGTCAATGGTGCATCCATCTCATGATCTCTTATTTATAAATTTTATAGAGATGGAAAGGTCAGCAATAGAACCGATATGTAATATAAGCATACAAAGCAGCTGGATATTTTTAATTACAGAGAGGTTACGAAAGTTGTCTTAACAGCAGTAAATGGCTATGTTTTCCTACGTATTAAAAGCAAGCATCACTAATAGTCAAAAAATGTAGCTTTTTTTGGGACTGCTGAATTGGATTGTCATTGCTTTGTTTAGAGAGGATATTCGTATTTATGGTAAACTTTTTTATATAATATAATCTTCTTTCTGGAAGGTTACGACCTGTACCTGTGTAACGTATGTTATTGGTATTAGCTAGCGGTTATACAAAGAGTAGACTTCGTAGTCTTTGAACTAACCCGACTATAAGAGATTTTGCCTATTCTGTAATATTTGTCAACCAACTTACTGACATTTTCAATTAAGGCTTTGAAAGCTGTGGAAAGACAGGGATAAGCTTACTGTACCAAGAGGAATACTTGACTTCCAATAGAATATGCTTAAGCACCTTAAATAAAATTAAAATTTCTGCGCTTAAGAACTATATTTTATATTTGCTGTATTTAAATTCATAAAACCTTTAAACGGAACTATTCGGCACTTAGCCGTAAACTACTGCTTGTATCCAAAGTTTATAGTAAGATGCTTTAGTAAAGCCACCATTTGCCATAGTGCCACAAGCATTTGCATTATAACTGGCAATACCAATTAGAAGGTTTCTATAAACAACGGGTCCACCATCGTCGCCACCACAAAAACCTCTTCCCTGAGGAGTAAGAAGGCATAGTGTGCCAGGATTAGTTAAACCGTCAGAAGCAGCGCAGTCTTCATTCTTTAGAGTTGTCAGTGATCGACTATACAATAACTGAGTAGAGAGCGGACCACCTTCGTATATGCGACCCCAACCGGAAATGATAACGGATTCTCCTGCCGGTACATCCCAATCAGCAACTCTTATTGGTTGTATGGCATCGGAATAGTCGAATGGTGTTTCCAGCTGCAGCAAAGCAATGTCATTATCGAAACCATACTGGGGGTGTACGATAACACTAGAAACTGCTCGGAATAACCCGCCAGCAGTGCGGCTCACAGTGCCCGCTTGTACACCTAGGAAATTGTGATCAACGCTGAAAAAAATACATTCGTTTTTTATTATCCTTCCTATACTTTGGCATGAAGCTCAACTCATACTTGTGGACACAATGTGCTGCAGTAAGCACAAATTTTGGAGACACCAACGCGCCACCACAAATATGCTGCTTATTTACGCGCACGGATACTTGATATGGGAATTGTGCTGAGGCAGCAACTTGACCGTTTAATATGCGGAGACTCGGTCCTTGTTCCGCGGATACATCTTCAGTTTGCGTGGCCTCTGCCACAAAATAAAAGGCTACAATGAGCTTTATAAAGAGGCTTCGATAATCCATTTTAGAGAAAAGTGAAATGAAGTACTTATTGATTAATCACGCCTTATATAGGGCTAAGATTTTGAGACACGTTGCAAGTTCGGTGAAACGTGCCGAGAAAAGGTCATTAAAAAGTGATTAGAATATTGCTAAAATCTAGCAATTAATGATTTTCATACTCTGGTAACACGTTGTACAGAATGCAGTAGTTTTGTTGACATAACGGTTGTTTTGAATACCTAAAACTCTATACGACAGATATAAAGTTATATGAAAGTATCAAACTATTTTGGAAATATCAAGACGAAATATAGAACAATTTGGGGTCGTAACAAATAGCAACTCTGTGCTATATAATCATTTTCTAAAACAGTTCAAACTTTTTCTATCTCATATAATATGTACTGATATTCTCCCTTCAGATTGACTTTATACCGATTGGCTTCCAGATGGGTAATCTGATGGGTAGTTAATTTAAAAATTAAGTAGAATATGGAAGAAATGTTGAATTGTTAACCTAATGTTATTAATAATCATTTTGAAAATAAAAGAGCTTGGGTATCGATGGAGCATCAGGGACGAAAATTACATATAATATGATGATGTTACAATTTAATTGAATTGATTGCGAGGGATTAAGATCTGGTTAAGTCACAGCTTAAGCTTTCACACACTAAAGCTTCCACAAGGAAGCGAAACTCGACAGTTAAGTTGGGTTTTACATAAGTGTATTAAAATTTAAATGATTGAACACAGTCTGGTACGAAAAAGGAAAAACAGTTTATATGAGGATTGTTTTGGAGATCGAGTTGGTTTCTCCGACTAAAAAATATAGAAACATATAAGTTCTTGGTTTCTGTTAGTTTGATCACTCCTCAGCCGTAAGAGCTTATCATAGACGACTTTTAGCAGATTAGTGATTATCTATATGGCTTCTAATGATATCTCGCACACATTCACGGTTTCTTATTAAATTCACAGAACTGAACATGGACCCAATACGACAAAAATAATCTAAGATATTTATTTATATGAAAACTGACGACTATTTTTTACCCTAAACCGGATAAATTAAGTTTGCAACGAAGTTTGCTACACCCAGAAGGAAATATCGGATACCTCATAAACAAATATATATATATAAATTATCAGCATGACGATCTGTGCCGACTTAGCCATACCCGTATGTCTGTTTGTACGTTTATCAGTTTATAAGCGAACTACTTTCTCAGTTCTGAAATTGTGCACATATCCTTTTCACCTTGTATGGAAAATTTTAGTGTTTGACAAAAACTCTTCACGAAATTTGACATGCATTATTATGCAAAGCAGCGGTACACTCTCCGAAAAAATTGCTCAAAACGGACCAGTATAGCACATAGCTCAAATCAAATTCTTATAAGGAATCTTTTGTATTTTATATTATAGCTTCGATGCAGGCGAAATTAAAGCTCGGTGAAATAATTGAACTGATGAAAGTACTGTGTAATTTCTATTTAAGATTCACGCAAATTTATGTGTTATGAAACCACAGTTATAAACAAAACGAAAGTTGCTGAAAACGAAAAGTCCATATCATGAAAGTAAGAGATTGGTATGGAAAATAATGCCAATAATAATTTTAATGAAAGGACTTAAAGACTTGTTTTTCCTTTCCCAGTAGTGATAAGTAGTCTCATTTAGATATATTTCCCCATTTCAGAGAATTCGCATTTAGTAGAATACCATTATAGCTAATGATCCTTCCTAGATCCGTAAATAAAGTCAGATACATACAAAATTAATCACATTGTCTTGGTCGCTGGTTTCCTTCCATTTTTCGACCACTTCACATGAAGGATAACAGATAAAAGTTGTAAACCAAGGTGTTGAATACAGTTGAGCTTTATTGTTTATAAACTTGTGTTTCGTTCCAAACTGCTTCTAAAACGTATTTGCAACTAACCACCTATTATAATAGGACACCTTGGTATAACCGTCTGGCGCAGAAGAGCCACATCCATCGGAATAATAACTGGCGATACCAATCAATACGCCTTTGTGTACGGCTGGACCACCATCATCACCATCACAGAAGCCTCTATTTTTAACCTTAGAAAGACATTGTATGCCCGCATTAATGGGACCGGCTATACGAGCACACTGTTGATCACTTAAAACAGTCAATTTGCGACTATACTGTAATATTTCGGGGAGTACACCGCCATCAGTTAAGCGACCCCAACCAGTAATGGTAACCTCTTCGCCAGCTGGTGTTTCAGTAGTGGCCAATGTTATTGGTCGTATGACATTGGAGTAGTTAAGTGGTTCACTTAACTCCAGTAATGCAATGTCATTATCGTAATTGTAGTTGGGATGTGGAATTACCCTCGCTACTTGGGAAATAGTACCCGCTTCGGTGAGATTTATCGTACCGGCTTGTACAGTAAGGAATGTTGGTGAAATACTGAAAGAAATATATATTTCAAGTATGAGATGACTCTATAGCCGTTGAATGAGTATATTTTACCTGGCCACACAGTGTGCTGCAGTAACAATAGTATTTTGAGAAATCACAGCGCCACCGCAAATATGTTTTCCGCCTACACGTACAGATACCTGATAAGGAAATTGACCCTCTGCAGCGTTACTACCGCTAACGATACGTGGACTTGGACTTGGACTTTGTATGGCCTCGGCCACCAAACAAACGAGTACAAGCAAAGCTATGTAGAAGCTTGGAATTGTCATATTGATCTTGATATTTAATTGCTCGAACCCACGCTTTATATATGCTTCCACAGTATGTGGAAATATTTAGAAAAAAGCTCATTAAAAAGTGATTAGCTGGTTCTTAAAGCATTATGTCAGTCTACAAATTACTAACTAATTAGTCCGTTAGCTTATCGGGAAAGTAATGAGCTTCGATTTACAATACGCTGTGCGAGCAGACAAGAGACTCAGTCCATATAGTCACTATGGGAAGCGATCCTATACAGTGAATATAATGTATAGTAGACATAGCAACAAAATTTAATAATGTACAAGTATAGATCATTCCCCTGATGCTGATCATCTTTAGATTTCATCATTAGGCAGATCTTTCTCAAGCGCTTGTTCTTGTCGTTTAAGTGTTGAGTTAATTATTATCTCGAAATCTGTAAGATCTATGTAATATAACCGCCGGGAAAGACATGCAATCAACTTATAAACGTTTACGGACAGATTCTCACGGAAGGGGAAAAGTGACAGAAGGACACCGAAAGTTTGTATCAGGTAATTTAGGACGTTCAGTGCCGGTGATGTGAGGCCACAATGAAGACATTTAGCAGAAATTTGGATAAGGTGCTCTAGGACTAAAAATAAATTGCAAATTCTAGGCGGCTGGTGAATATTTAATTTGGTAGAGTTTGCCGAGAAGAGTAAGGGATTACTTTCGAAATGAATTTTCAGTATTGCAAAAGCCGATTGGGAGTTGTGAGTATATTTATCGCAATTTTCAACGACAGGCCTCCCGACGCGTGGTGCATCTTTGACATCGAAATTACCGGAACGGAACCTAACAAATCACTTTTGTGCTACACGTTCGTTTACAGCATCGGACCCATAAGTTAAATTAATTTTTTCAGCCACTTTGGCTATAGCGAATTTTCTCTTTGCTGGTGTCCATCTTTGACGAGCGCTAACAACGTACTGAGTCAACCAATCGAAAAACTGTCAAAGACAAACTTTTAGCGCGAATAAACACGTTTTCAGCGCCGTATATGCGACATGATGCGACAAAATGCGACACGTAACACTAGTACTATGGACAATAACGCCATCTCTTAGATAAAAACCGAACGAACTTTTTACTTGACCTAATATATAGTATATCTACATAGGTATATACAAATACAAATATATAATAAACAATAAGTAAGGAAAAGTGAAGTCGGGTGTAACTGAACATTTCATACTCTTGTAAATTGCAAGGATCAAAGGCGGGGAAAGATCTTCAGGTTCAGCGGTTTGAGAATGAAAATGAACCCAGCAAACGGCAGGTCCAGCCCACGTTCGACGGCACAAATGTTCAACGATATCGAACCTACACTATCGCAACCGATAAGGCATATGATACACTTGAGATGATGTTTTAGAAATGAATAGATTTGCTAGCTGATGGTGATTATGAAAAAAATATCACTAAAAATTTTATAATCCTACCTAAAACTATACCTAATATATGATAAATGATAGCAGTTTTGTATTTTTGTCAGCGCAAGAGCGCTTTTAAAAGGATGCTTATAATATGAATGCTTAGAGCTCACTTTTATCAAACATTAGGACATATCTCTGTTATTACATACCATATATGTATTTAACCACCGCATTAGTCAGATTTAGCTGTTTTGTGTGACTTTTTACCTGTTTTCGAAACCGAAAATGCGCCACGAGTCCACTGAAGCCATTAAAATCATTCGGTGAAAGTACTGAAAGCCATCCCGCCGAGTTTATACAAGTAACAAGTGTAAGAAAAATTGAATTGAACCACTGTAAATAGGGCGTTCCTCCTATTTTCGGTTTATACGAGAAGAAATGTGTTAGGAAACCGTCTTAAGTACTTAATGGACAAAAAGGGTGTTGGTAAAGTCGATAGCATGAAAGTAAATGCATGATGTGGAAAAATATTTCCGTTAATGATTTAAGTGACAGGATTTGAAATATTTTTACTAGTCCCTGTAATGTGAGTACTTCTTTAGATATATCTCTCAACTTCAGGAAATAAAATTAAAATCGAATAGATATATAGTTAATGTCCTTCTCTTCTACTTTTCGATCACAACACAGGACTGATAAGAAATAACAGTTGTATGCAAAAGTGTTGGTTACTATTGAGCTTTATTGTTTATAAACTTGTGATTTCTTTCAAACTGCTTTAAACTAAGTTTGAAACTAACCAGTTATTATAATAGGACACCTTAGTATAACCGTCTGGCGCAGAAGAGCCACAGCCATCGGAATAATAACTTGCGATGCCAATCAATACGCCTTTGTGAACTGCTGGCCACCATCATCACCATCACAGAAGCTATTTTGATACCTTAGAAGACATTATGGCCCATTAATGGGGACCGCACTAACGAGCACACTGCTTATCACTTAAAACAGTCAGTTGCGACTATACTGTATATTTCGGAAGTGCACCGCCATCAGTTATGCGACCCCAACCAGTAATGGTAACCTCTTCGCCAGCTGGTGTTCATTAGTAGCCAATCTTATTGGTCGTATGACACTGGAGTAGTTAAATGGTTCACTTAACTGTAGTAATGCAATGTCATTATCGTAATTGTAGTCGGATGCGGAATTATCTTCGCTACTGAGAAATAGTACCCGCTTCGGTGAGATTTATCGTACCGCTTGTACAGTAAGGAATGTTGGTGAAATACTGAAAGAAATATATTTTCAAGTATGAGATGACTCTATAGCTGTTGAATGAAATATTTTACCTGG